CAGTCCTTCAATTAGTGTGAGAGCTGATGGGATTTTGGATCACGCAATGTCGCTTTTGGAGTGAAGAGCTCCTGTCTCGTTCCTGGCTCAGGCCTTCATTCAAGACCCAAGATTCATGCTCAAGTTTTGATCCTTGTTCTTTGGATATACCTTTGGATTTATGCTCATGTTTTGTTCCTTGTTTATTGGATTATTTTGGAATTCATGTTCATGTTTTGATCTTTATTTCCTGGTTTTACCTATTGCTTTGTCTGGCATTGTAAGTGACATCTTCTGGGCCTGTCTCATGGTGGCCAAATCCGCCTGTAGCATTTGTAACTGCTGCTGTATCTGCTGCACCTCTGCCGTATTCATGATGCCTGGCGAGGAGCAAGGATATTTTTGAATGGAGATCAAGCAAACTGCTGCACCTCAGCAAGAGTTCACCTTGCTCACAACATTCACCAAGAAATAATAAACAGTTTATTAATAGAAGCAAGCAGATATAAAAAGACCATAGCAAATGGAAGGGTAAAAATCCAAGAGTTAATGAAGGAAACAATGTTCACATTGGCTCCTCCTCCTCTTCTTCTTTTGTTCATGTATACCCCACTTTCTCTCTCCACAAGGGGATTCAAAATGGCTTACATTAAAAACATTTCAATACAATTTAAAATCTACAAATCTACAAACATTAAAACAGGATTAAATATCACTGACATTTTAAAAGTTCAGCTAAAAACTCCAGGGTACATCTACATCATGCGGTTTGACACCACCTTAACTACCATGCCTCAATACTATGAAATCACGGGATTTTTAGTTTTACAAAAACCTAAACCTTTTTTGATCAAACGATGCTGGTGCCTCACCAAACTACATGTCCCAAGATTCCATAGCTTAAAGTAGTGTCCAACTGCATCAATTCGACAGTGTGGGCGCACTTTTACCAACTCTGGTTTAGATTATTAATTTTGTCTGTTCAAATCCTTTGAGCTAATTACAAATTGAGTACCAGCCTCTCCAAAAATTAAGATTGGCCCATCATAAGCCCTAGTCCCTAAACTAGTTTTTCTCACTACTGTGTCACCATTCCTTTCCAGATTGAAATTTATTCAGCAGAAAAGGCAGAGATGAAAAGACTGCTACTAGGATCCAAGGCATGTTTCAGTAGCATTGGAAATGTTGGAAATTATAATTTCTAACTATCTATTTGCCTCTGTGAGTGTGTTCAGCAACTTCCAGGGCATCAAGATACACTTATTACATAGTTGCCCAGGTAAAGTATACCTTTCAGGACTCATGATACTAATTTCCAATCAGAGTTTAGATTGAACCCTAAACTCAAACAAGCAGAGGAAACAATATCTTGTCTTTTCCTTCAGGCAGCAAATTGCCTTGGTTTTTGACCTGCCAATGCCCTGTGACATTACTCTTTCTTTCACAGTCTACCCAATGTTCCTGGCTGGCGTTTTGATCCATCAGTGAGTCAGCATCTGTTCAATAAGCTAGGAATCAAGGAGGTATTATACGTAGAATAATGTGACATGTTCTAAGTACTTTATGTAACCGTGCCATTGTGATCTTGTATAAAATATCATTTTAATGTTTTGTCAGTCTGTGTGGAATTGCTCTTGGACTGTCTATCATTACTACAGCCACAGCTTTTGTTTTCCCAGAAGCCCTGAATTTCATTTTGCAAGTCTCAGTATTTCATAATCTTTTCCATCTTTGTCTTGAGTTCTGCCATCCCCTGGGATTGCCTGTCTATAAGCAAACTTTTTTTCCCAACTACACTTTAATTTGGCATATTATAACTATTTATCAGTCAGTCCTAAAGTGTCATGTGTGGTTTTTTAAACTTTACCATTTGAAACAACTTCTACAAGTTTACATTCCTAGCAATTCTTTGCAGATGGTATTTATTTATTGTGTCAGAAGCAAGTTGGTACAGTTAAAATGCATTTAAAAACACAAAGTTTTTGAAAACTTGCCATTATGCTAAATGTCCTTAGATCAGAAGTTGGCCACTTGGTGTGCCTCTGGTGTCGCTGTGAGAAGATCCTCCATTGTGCATGTGCCAGGGCTCACTTTGCATTGTAGTAGGTGATCTGTGAACCACCATTTCTTCATAGATTCCAGTGTACCTCTGCAGCCAATTCATCATGGTGCTTATGTTTAATTCATGTCATCTTGCTAAAAAAACTAATATGATTTGTCTTTTCCCTTACTTACATAGACAATTATCATTCTTCGTTATGTTTTCAATAGAGGTTGATGCTAATTGGCTGAGGTTCTGCTCCTTGAATCACAAAAGTATGCATTCCACATCAACATCAACAGCATATTAGAATAGGACATTATTTCAGAGGAGTTTGAAAATAGACATCTACCAGGTCAGACTATGGGTCCCTTAGCTGAACAGCTTGTCATTCAGATGTTTCTGAGATGCAAACGGAAAGTGCATGAAACAAACGGCAATCCCTCTTTATTGACACAACCACCTCTTATTTCTTAGCTTTCTCTTTGAACCTAGAGGTTTCATTTAGTTGAGATGAGCAATCAGATATGCTCTAAAGCCACTGGTTCCCAACCTTTTATGGCAATGCCCCATCTAAGCATCTCTCTAATCCTGATGCCCCCCCCTTTCCCCCAGTAAGATATAACTCTTACTATTCAAAAGGTGAACTGCTATTTATTCACATGGAAGAAGACCAAAAGGCCATTAACTTGGTCTAAACACACTTCCAAAAACGTGGCATCCATGAAAGAGAAAAATAGAATGAATTTGAGTAATCTGCAAAAAATTTAGGGTAACTTAAGTGTCCAACTCCATTGCATGTATTTGGTGAGAATATGCAAGAATAATATCCTCTTTCTTGATATTTTTTTCATACCTATATAGGAAATAATTGTGCTTTGGATTTTTTCACAAATTTCTTGCTACATTCACATGCAGAACAAAAAAGATTTTATGTATTTTGTATAGCTTGTAATGTTAAAAGAACACTGAGGAGAAAAGTGTTTGGAAGGAAAGTGGTTTTTCTTTTCTGGGCTATGCTTTCCCCACTTCTCTCTATTAGAGGGCTTTCCCTCTCTCCATTGTCACTAGCTGACCACCATGTTCATTTGGATTCTAATTTTTAAAAATGTATGCCACCATATATATTTATATACTGTATATGAAGCCCCTAGAACAGTGTTTCTCAGGACCCCGGGGGGTAGGGTCGTGAGAGGGTGTCAGAGGGGTTGCCAAAGACCATCAGAAAATACAGTATTTCTGTTGGTCATGGGGGTTTTGTGTGGGAAATTTGGCCCAATTCTATCGTTGGTGGGGTTCAGAATGCTTTTGGATTGTAGGTGAATTATAAATCCCAGCAACAACAACTCCCAAATAACAAAATCCATCCCCACTCCAACCTCACCTGTGTTCAAATTTGGGCATATTGGGTATTTGTGCCAAATTTGGTCCAGTGAATGAAAGAACATCCTGCACATCAGATATTTACAATTCGATTCATAACAGTAGCAAAATTAATTTTATGGTTGGGGGTCACCACAACATGAACTGTACTGAGATGTTGTGGCTTTAGGAAGGTTGAGAACCGCTGCTCTAGAACCATAGGAAATGCAAAAACTAATTTAATAACTTGTTCTTGAATCGCTCCCTCCCAAAAAAATCAAGTTACCCCCCATGAGGCATGTGCCACACCTTGGAAACCAGGGCTCTAAAGACACCAGAAACAATAGATCCTCATCACAAATTGTGGAAGCAAATCCTGGAAGTTAATGATGTGTTGTGTGAAGACACATTTTATCCTAACTCAAATTCTGGTCAGTATCATTGAATTATCATAAAAGATCCACACATCAAAGAACTGGGATTGAGTTTGGCACTTGATAAGTAAACCTGCAAAAGACTGGGAAAATCAATGGTTTTGCTTCTTTTTTAAAAAGAATATTTAAATACCTTTCCGTTCAAGGTACTGAACATTTTGTTTAAAAATCAGAAGCTTCTCAAAGAAAAAAATAGAAGTTAAATGCCAACATGTTTGAAAACGCAGGATGCAAATTCAAATAAGCATACAAAGACCTATGGATAGATGTCAGTTTTAGCATTTCTTAAAACTCCAAGTTCTTTCCATCCAATAAATTGTGATAAATTCTTATTCAAGTGAAATGCACACATCCTTTGCTTGTGGATAGTAAGAAACAACCTTGAGGAGCCATTTCAAGAGGTGTAATGAACTATTATCCAAAAACAGGGAGAATTAGCCTAAAGCAAAATGATTGAATTAACTCCTTATTTTATTGAGTACCAAGGCTTCTCTTATTTTCAGGGCTTGTTTATTTTGTTCTTAATTGCTCTACATATATCCAGTCTGATTACAGCTACCAACAAATTACCAGTTCCAGAATTTCCTAGTCAATATGATCAGTGGTTGAACTGGCTGGGAATTTTGGGAATTGTAAATGCATAACCCTGGAAATTATCCCCAAGGTTCTCAACAGAGATAAGGTTAGTCACCTCACCTCCATCTTCATGACCTGGGTGACACCAGGTGGGTAAGGACTGACTGGAATAGAAGTTAGAAGGGAAGTGATCATCTAATCACGCTGTGTTAAAATAGGATGCTGGAAGCTGGGGGTGGCATTGTGCAGAGATTGGCTTATTGTGACTATCTAAAAAAATATCAAATCTTACCTCAAAATGTGTCATTACTTTGTATTCTCATGTATAAGTATAGATTGAACTTTGACTTATCCACAGGCCATATCAAAACCCACAATTTTGGCCCCTAAATCTGCCCCCAACTTGTCAGCGCATACATGAATATATGGTAAGCCCCCTGCCCCCTTCCCTCCAGCATGTGACAAATTTAAGACAGTCAAATTTTTCAGAAATATCATCTACTCAGTTATTCTAAGCACATGCGTAGGCCATAATTAATATAAATGGGACCATATCTGTTTCTAAATATTCATCGTGCATATCCCTGGAGGATGAAACAAAACAGAAAGAACGTACATCAGCGTCATTTATTCAGTCTTCTGACAGTGAGCCTGTCTTCCAAAGTAGAGCCATAAGAAGCACTATAAAATAAAACTTTTAATGGCATTTAGAGGAGTATTTTAGGTTTTGTCTTCTTTATCATCCAAAATATCAAACTGTCTTTTGGGTTTGGTAGCTTCATCCATTAATTCCTTTAGCTGTCCAACTTGTTCGTCTCGAAGGGCATGCAGTTTCTCCTCTGAAAGGTGGGACCCAAAGCGAGGTCGAGCAGATGAGCTCTGTGCATGTTGGCCAGCTTGTTCCCACAGCATAGCTGCATAGTTCTAGAAAGAAGAAGAAAGAGGAAGACTGGGCTGAATAACATATGATTTGACTTCTGGTCTGCAAAGTTAATTTGTGTGAAATGCCAGGACTTCTTTCCACACCATCTTTTTAACCACAATGCCTACAATTAGTGTGATAAGTCCTTTTGAACTATCATGGTTCTGTCCTATGGTCTCATCCTAAAGAACTCTGGAATGTGCAGTTGAAGGAGGAATATTCAAAGATCCAGTGTGTCATCAAACTAAGAACATTAAGACTCTCTGCAGGATGAAGCCATGGCAACTCAAGTGGCATGACGGTACTATAATGACGTAATGTGAAAGGCCACTCATCTAAACCAGAACATCATCATTCAGCTGGCATCTAATGCAAAGAACATAGTTTGAACTATAGAGCAACAAAGCTGAGACAATTCCTTTACATGCAGAATTAGTATGCAATTCAGTTACAGCTTTCCAACTGTACTTTGCAAATTTGAAGACAGTAACATATTACTGAATCCAGACATTGAATGTCTATGCAGTGCTTACAGCCCACTAAGAAAATAATTCAATGCATTCAGCATACTGGGTCAGATTTCCGAATTATTACTCGGCGAGGGGGGGGGCACACATTTACATACTTTTAGCATATTGCAATTACAATGGATCTCACAGTTAATTCAACCTACTGTGAAACTTGCACCATCTTTGCATAATTGTCAAAGGTCAGAGAGGACTGTGTGTAACTGAAGAATAGCAACCTCTCAGAAAGAATAGGACAACCACCCATATCGATGGTGGATATGTGCCTTAAACTACTATGAAAACAGGAAATTGTGAATAATAGTGAATATTATTGAAATTGCCAGAACTTATCATATAGTTGCCTTGGAGGACCTAGAAAATTCCTAAAAGTTACAGCCCAAACAATTTGGGACCATAACTTCTAGAAGTTTGCCACATTGACTCTATGGTACCTTCAAGGTGAAGCATACCATAAAATTCACTGGAGGGCAGAGAAAATTCTGTGTACTGGTCTTGCAAGTATGGCAGTTGTATTATATATATTCAACATTTTGGGTGCCCCCCCCCCCACTAGCATATTGTCCAGTCCTAGACTACAAGTCTCAGAATGTTACGGCCAATATAGCCAGTAATCAGATCGCCACAATAAACTTCCACAATAAAAAAGGGGATGTCCAGACAACATCCTGGTCAAACCCAAATTAATTTGACACAAACCAGGAAAGTCCTGGTTTGCGGTGAATTCATTTGATACTGAGTTTATTTTGCGCCTTCTTGGAAGGCGCAGGATACACCCACTATTTCCAGTGTCTTTCTTGACTGCAGAATACTTAGCCTGGAAAATTAGCCTGGAAAACTATGGGAATATCAACCCCCCTCTACTAAAGCCTCCCAAAACAGAGTTTAAAAAAACAAAACAGAAGTACTCACCCGGCCTCCATGAGATGGCTGCCGGAGTTCTTCTGGCACATACAAATGACACGGCAGGAGAAAGGGGGCGGGAGAGGAAGGAAAATCGCTCCTGCCCCCGCTATCTCCTGACACATCATTTATAAGTGTTAGGAGAGCTCCAGCAGCCATCTCTTGGAGGCCGGGTGAGTTCCTCTGTTTTTTTACTCTGTTTTGGGGGTCTTTTAGGGAGGGGGTTATGGTGTCCTGGTGTTCTCCCAGAAAGTCCTGGAAGAACACCTGGACACCCACCCCAGAAAGTGTGTGTTTTCTAGAGTGTGTGTAGATGGCAAAATACTCCCTCTGGTTTTCTTCACAAATCCTTCCGTCTCTTTGTAGCTTCATCTCCAACAGATACAACAACTCTATTCTCTCATCATCATGAGAGCTTGTGCTTCTTTAGTACATTTACAGCTACTCCACCCTGGCTGTAGATTACTCAATGTTAGCCAGGTGATTTGACTCTTAGTGTTTGTTGGCCCTGATGCTTACACTTCTGAACTATGAAGAGTAAACTACTTGTTCTTTATTGTTCACCTGCTAGGCCTATTTTCTTTCTCTGGCAAGAGAGTGTGTAGGCTGATCAAACATGAACTACACGTGGTTTATTTTACATTACACCACAGCTCTGAAGTTACAGCCCAAACAAACTTGAAGATAGCCGATAGAATCAAGGTTGCTATCATTTCTGTTACGTTGTTGTGCTTTTTGTGTCATGTAATTCCTGCTGTTTTAGCCATTATTCACCGCTTTGAATCCTACCCATTGGAGAAAAGCAGGAAATAAATAAATAAATAAATAAATAATTTCTGGTACATCTGAGTTGTTTCAAAACACAGAGTGGTAGATGAAGGGCACTGATGCATTTCAAGATTGTTGTTCATTCGTTCAGTCGTCTCCGACTCTTCATGACCTTATGGACCAGCCCACGCCAGAGCTCCCTGTCGGCCGTCACCACCCCCAGCTCCTTCAAGGTCAGTCCAGTCACTTCAAGGATGCCATCCATCCATCTTGCCCTTGGTCGGCCCCTCTTCCTTTTACCTTCCACTTTCCCCAGCATAATTGTCTTCTCTAGGCTTTGCTGTCTCCTCATGATGTGGCCAAAGTACTTCAACTTTGTCTCTAGTATCCTTCTCTCCAGTGAGCAGTCGGGCTTTATTTCCTGGAGGATGGACTGGTTGGATCTTCTCGCAGTCCAAGGCACTCTCAGAACTTTCCTCCAACACCACAGCTCAAAAGCATCTATCTTCCTTCGCTCAGCCTTCCCTAAGGTCCAGCTCTCACATCCATAGGTTACTACAGGGAATACCATGCTTTAACTATTTGGATCTTTGTTGCCAGTGTGATGTCTCTACTCTTTACTATTTTATCGAGACTGGACATTGCTCTCCTCCCAAGAAGTAAGCGTCTTCTGATTTCCTGGCCACAGTCTGCATCTGCAGTAATCTTTGCACCTAGAAATACAAAGTCTGTCACGGCCTCCACAGTTTCTCCCTCTATTTTCCAGTTGTCAATCATTCTTGTTGCCATAATCTTGGTTTTTTTGATGTTTAGCTGCAACCCGGCTTTTGCGCTTTCTTCTTTCACCTTGATTAGAAGGCTCCTCAGCTCCTCCTCGCTTTCGGCCATCAGAGTGGTGTCATCTGCATATCTGAGGTTGTTAATGTTTCTTCCAGCAATTTTCACCCCAGCCTTGCATTCATTAAGCCCCGCACATCGCATGATGTGTTCTGCATACAAGTTAAAAAGGTTGGGTGAGAGTATGCAGCCTTGCCGTACGCCTTTCCCAATCTTGAACCAGTCTGTTGTTCCGTGGTCAGTTCTTACTGTTGCTACTTGGTCCTTGTACAGATTCCTCAGGAGAGAGACAAGGTGGCTTGGTATGCCCATCCCACCAAGAACTTGCCACAGTTTATTATGATCCACACAGTCAAAGGCTTTAGAATAGTCAATGAAGCAGAAATAGATTTTTTTTCTGAAACTCCCTGCCTTTCTCCATTATCCAGCGGATATTGGCAATCTGGTCTCTCGTTCCTCTGCCTTTTCTAAACCCAGCTTGAACATCTGGCAACTCTCGCTCCCTGTATTGCTGGAGTCTTCCTTGCAGGATCTTGAGCATTACCTTACTGGCATGAGAAATAAGGGCCACTGTACGGAAGTTGGAGCAGTCTTTCGCATTTCCCTTTTTTGGTATGGGGATATAAGTTGATTTTTTCCAGTCTGATGGCCATTCTTGTGTTTTCCATATTTGCTGGCATTACTGAGTCATAATTTTGTTTGAATTATCTACTTCAGATCTCACTGTTGCAACTTATAAGCAAATCAAGGAGAAAGATAGTAAAATTATCAGACATTACTTTCTTAAACATATGTATGTTTTTCAAGCAAGGCACAGTTGTGTAAGGTATATTCTTAAGGAATGTCTTGAAATTGCTGGCTCTTTTGACAGAAACAGTCTGTCTTTGAGATTTAGCTACACTTAACTACTTATTATTATCTACAGTATAAGGAACCTCTTCTTTTCTGTACAATATGCTTGCATATAAGTAAATTTAATGGAGTCCCCGGTGGTGCAATGGATTAAACACTTGTGCCGGTAGGACTGAAGACTGACAGGGAGAGTGGATTGAGCTCCCTCTGTCAGCTCCAGCTCCCCATGTGGGAACATGAGAGAAGCCTCGCACAAGGATGGTAAAACATCAAAACATCCAGGCATCCCCGGGCAATGTCTTTGCAGCCTGCCAATTCTCTGACACCAGAAGCGACTTGCAATTTCTCAAGTCACTTCTGACACACACACAAAAGTAAGTTTTATTAGTCAGTGGTTGTATATAATTGATGGTTGGAGATTGTCAGTTAAGAAAGGAAAGTGGTGTCAGAGTTTTACATAATATGATTTCAACAAGTAACAACATATGCACAATGTGATCAGTTGCATCAACTCAAATAATTTCCTTTTGTGAGAGATTTAAAATTCTCTTTTTCTGTCCATGTGGATAAATTCCTTCAGCAGCTCCATGGAGGAAGAGCACACTTCAAACTCTACTTCTCTCTGCTTCTCTCTTCAAACGGTCTCTCTCTGAACACATGCATAGCTCAAGCCTGAACAAAAATGTAACAGTAACCAAAAGTTCCAGGACTAGCCATCTATCCAGGCATAGCCCAACCAATCAGCTTCACGCATCTTATTTTACAGTTGACACATATACATTAATTCCTTGAATGCTCCAACAAGAGCAACTTATATCCCACAGCTAATTTAAAAGAATGTTTTAGAAGATTAAACACAACATCCAAGTAGTATCAATTAAGAAAACTAATTTGAAGTGGCAGTTCTTTTGCATTTAAATTTGAACGTACCAATTCACCAGCATTAATTTATCAACAGGTTATTTCAAAATACTTCTGCTAATACACTGTTAACCATTACAGATTGCCTTCTTCCCCCTATTTGCACAGGTTGTGATCATTATTTCTTGTAGTTTTTAGTGAATTTATTTCCTTGATTTTCACTAAATGTGTTTTGCATGGTTTAAAATAAGCTA